GCCCAACGTTTTCAGCAAGATGGCTGTTGCTGAGAATAATTTTACCTGTGCTGCTCTTAATCACACTTCTAACCTCTCACTGGAAGGATAAGGGCCGGATAAAATACGGCCTGGCTCCGTGTGAAGCAGCACAGTGACAACAAGTGTTCTCATTCATCTGCTTTCCTCCCAGAAACAGAAGAATCTGAAGACGAAGATAAAGAAAATGAGAAAGCTGAAGATGACAAGGAGAACGAATTGGCAGCCGAAGACAAGGTGAGGTTGCTGAGCTCTGGTGTTGGTGCTCCTGAATGCAATGTGTGTCTAAATGTCATGTGAATATCTCTAAGTTTATGAAAGCTCACGTGTATTTTGTTAAGTCCTGTACAGGAAATAAGTTCTGTGTGGTGAAACCAATGTTAGCTAACAGGGCCATCAGGGTCGTTGGATTTTTGTCTGTAAACCGGTGCTTATTCAGCTGCACTGAAACAAATGCTCTGTAGGTCATTGAGGCAGCCTGGTGGAGGGGAGGCCGGCCTTGGTTTCTCACTGAAGTTAATTATAACAGTTGTCAGTTCTTGCTGTCTGGTTACTTAGTTTGAGTGGAGAATATTGCTGCTTAGTATCCTGTTATTTCTGGGGGCAGGAGGAGAGAGAGGAGCCCATATCAACTGACAATGTAAATTTAAGTTCCACTTAAACACCTTCATACCAACATGCAAAGTGTGAGCTGATATAATGAACTCTTTACACATTTTTCCTTTTATCAGCAAAGCGTTCATCTCTCGGTTAAATGCATTCTGCTTAAAAGCATAAAGTTGTTTAATGTGGTATGTATCCAAGTAGCTTAATATTTCATGCATTTCTGGTCTTTACAGGAAAGTGAGGAGGAAGAAATTGGAAATCTTGAGCTAGCCTGGGACATGCTGGAGTTGGCCAAAGTCATCTATAAGAGGTAAAATCTAAGGCTGTAATTTGAACGTTTGCTAGAGAAACTCCCTCAGTTGGGAGGTGGTGTAGCATGATGCTGCATATTCTGAAGACTTGAAAACAGCTTTTTTCCCTTGATTTAGGCAAGAAACAAAAGAAGCTCAGCTTCATGCAGCTCAAGCTCATCTAAAGCTAGGAGAAGTCAGCATTGAATCTGGTAAGTAGTGCTAATTGTTGTGTGTGAAGTGCTAAGTTAAATCTTGTCATGTTTAATTTCATACTCAAAAATGAGTGGAGGTGACTTAAGACTGAGAAGGCTGGGGAGTGGTTAAAAATGAAAACAGCTCAACTTTGTCTAATTATAACAGTACAGCCATAGGATAAACTTCTTAATGGGGGACCCAAGGAAGTTTCTTAAAGAGGCTGTACCGTGCTTCCCTGGAGCAGCAAAAGAAAGCTTTGTGTTAGAAGTGGTGTACTGTCAGGCTAAAGCAGAACACAGCATTGTTTCATGGAGATTTGGTTAGCTTCAGAAACTGGGAAAGCCTCCTTAGGTTACTGTGTTGTAAATACACAGAGCCCCCTTGAGAGGAGCAGGGGAAGTGGACCCTAAGCAGTGTTGGACTGTGAGCGCTGTCGTTTGACGACAGGAAAGCATCCTGTTACTGAGCTCAGCCTGTATTCCACAATAGTTCTCTTTTCAGACCACATCAGGTGGAATGAAATATGTAAAATATGTTCTTTGTAAAGACTTTGTGTCTTGCTTCTATAGAGAACTATGTGCAAGCTATAGAGGAGTTTCAGGCCTGTCTGGCCCTGCAGCAGAAATACCTGGAAGCTCATGACCGCTTGCTGGCTGAAAGCCACTACCAGCTGGCCCTGGCCTACCACTACAACAGCCAGTTTGATGAGGCAGTCCAGCAGTTTGGTAAATCCGTAGAAGTCATTGACAAGAGAATGGGTAAGTTCTCCAAAATGGCCTAGCTAACTAAAGGGCTTTTGTGGGTCAGCACTGACTTTAAATTGCCCTAAAACCAGTCTGCGATGCAAATGTTCACTAACAGGCCATACTAACATCAGCATCTGTTGGTGGGCACTTGCCTCTGTGGTGTTTGTAATGGGACAGCTGCTTTGCCTTCAGGCTTTTTTTGCCATGGTAACTTTGTCATTCCAGCAATGCTTACTGAACGAATAAAGAAGGCAGAAAGTGGTTCCCCCGAAGATGAGAAGGAGATTGAAGAACTGAAGGGACTCCTCCCTGAAATCAAAGAAAAGATAGAGGATTCAAAGGAGTCTCAAAAGAGTGCAAGGGTAGCTGAGCTGGCATTGAAAGCAACTCTGGTTAGTGCATCCTGTGTTCTCCTTTGAACCAAATGTTCTTCTAGCGAGGCTTGAAGTAAACCAGTAATGGGAGAAGCTGAGACTTCACATAGAGCAAGAAGTTAACTAATGCAGTTAAAATCTAACGATAGGATTAATAGCAAATATATTGAAATTAATTGTTCCAACCTAAACTTGAATTTGTTGGGGTTCTAAGCAATAAGTCTGAGTCAAATGTGAGACTTGAGTGTTACACTGCTACACGAGCTTTTGTTCTGTCTCTGCTGTATGTAAGTGCAGAAGTAGAATGCAGTAAGACACAGTTGGATTTCCTGCCACTTCCTAAACTGTGTACTGGCCTTTTGTGAATGGGTGACAATAGGTGCTTGTTAACTATTTCTCTGCTGTTCTAGGTTGGAACTACATCTGGTTTTGCACAAAGTGAAGGCAGCGGCTCTGTTTCTACAGTAAGTTGGGCAGAGAAAGTTGCTGAGAATTCATGTCTGCTTTAAGGATTATGGCTTGCTGTTATTGACATGTCAGTGTCTGTTCCTTAATAGATTCCAGTAAGAAAAGCTGCTGATGGAGCATCTCAGTGTGTTACAGACATCTCTCACCTGGTCAGGAAAAAGGTGAGTCCAGCAATGACCAAGAGAATAAACAGCTTGTCAGAGCATCGGCGTTTTGCCCTCTATAGTTGGATCTCTTGGCTTAGAGCTTTTACTATGGAGCCTGGAAGAACACTTAAAAGTAGTAACAAAAACTGTGTAAAACTCCTTTCCACTGGGAGGTGATCAGTGTGGGAACCACCCAGCTCCAGATGTGTTGGTGATGGTTCAGCACCGTGCCTGACCACAGTGATGTAATTGCAGGCTGAACTGTTTGCCCTCTGGAGATGTCCCCTGAGCAAATGCCCTGCTCTGGAGGAACTGCAGGAGGAGCGGGGCAGCCTGTAGATACTGAAAAATTAAGATGAAGACACAACCAGGCTGAGTTGGGTTCCCTTCTTTCCAAGTGGAAATAGAGAATTGAACTTGAAAAATAGCAAAGCCAGCCCTAGTGTGTAGCCATGCTAAGCTGTCTCTTACTCAGAGAACAGGATATGCTGAATACAAGGTTCCTTTAAGAGTATAGGGATTTTCCAGAGTTGTTCATACTGCTAATTATCCTGTATGTGACACAGCCTGCCTTGTGTTACGCTGCCTGCTTTGAGCTCAAGTCTGTCAGCAGCAGCTTTGATCTGCTTTACACAGGTGATTGTAAATAGCCTCTATTCACTTAGCTGTTACCTAGCTCAACAGTAACTCGTTCCCCTGTCAAAGTATAAGGATAATTCAGCACTGTAGCTACTGGCACTTGCATAATCCTTCTGGTTATACATTGAGATGTTTGTGCTTCAGAGCTTTGGTTAAATCCTAACGCTTAAGTTCTTGAACCTGGCAAGTAGAGCTTAAGTAAGTAATGTACAATGACATCTAGATGCTAACTTTCTAAAAATACTTCAATCTGTACATAGTGAAGACTAAACAATTTTGTCTTCAGAGGAAACCAGAGGAGGAGACCCACCAGGGAGACAACGAAGCTAAGAAATCTAAAGCAGAACCGGCTGTCAATGGTGGCGGTGGTGATGCTGCCCCCAGTGGAAATGAGGTTGCAGAAAAAATGGAAGAGGAGGTGGGCAGTTGAGTCAGGACTCTGTGCATATATATATATGTATATATTTTTTTTCTTTCCCCTCTGTTCAGGCATGGTTTTGTGCATGGTTTCATCTGTTGCTGATATACTTTATTGCCTGTTGGTCTTCAGAGGCTTCCCACAAGATGGGGAATATTCCCAAGCTGCATGTTGTACTGAGGTGTCTGACACTGAGTGAGCTGGGAAGATGCCAGCTTTGGCAACCTGCAGCCAAAGGGTGGGACAGAAACGTGCTGGGGCCCTGCATGTGTGATTCAGGTTGAACAACAGCACGAAGCCCTTCTCCAGAGCATTTCTGTAGTAGAATGTTTAAAGGTTTTGAAATCCTTAACTTGGCCTACAATTTTTACTGTTTCAGAGTAGTGCTGGGCTCTGGCGATGAGCAAAGCATGCATGGTTACGTCTTGAAATTAAAGAAACTGACTGCTGCATGAGTTGGTGCTGTAATGCAGTGTTTGATTTTTAAAAATCAAATACTTCTCTTTCCTTTTAGACAGAGAAAAGGCCACAAGCAGAACCAGGGGCTGCAGTTGAAAGCACAGTATGATAATTCTTTAGCTTTGGACACTCCTCTCCTTCAAAGGAAAATGGTTTTGTATATAGTGTATTTTTTCACTTTTTGGCAACTTTTGTATGACTTCAATAAAGATTGTAAGCAAATGTTCCTTGTTCTGACCCTGTTTCTCTCTCAAGCTCCTTCCTCCCTGCTTTTGTGCTGCAGCCTTGCTTTTCTACATAGAGCTGCAAAAGGGTTGAGCTGGGGCAAGAGGAGGCAGTGTAAGCCCTGGGCCTGTAGGAAGGTGCAGGGGAGGCAAGGCTGTCAGCATCCCTCTGGCCAGTTACTGTGGTGTGGTACCTTCCCTGCTCCTGTGTGCTGCAGCGGCAGAAGGCTGCAGTCCCTGTGTGCTCCCTCCCTGCACTCCTGGCTTGCTATGGCTGAACTGCGTTTTGCAAAGTTGGTGCTGGTTCTGTGTCATCTGACTTGGCAGCTGTAGTTCAGCTCTGTTCTTCAGGATATGACTGCAAACAGTGAACTTCATAGTCTGTACGCTGAAAAAGGCCAGGAGGTGAAGAGCTGTAGGTAGAAGCCATTTATTTCACACACCCACCACGAGCCCCAGGATGATAGAGGAAATCTCTTGCCATGGGTTTTGCTGCTCCTTGGTTTGAGCCTTGAATGCCTCCTGTTAAGCTTTTCCTAAATGTACCTTGAGATGTGTCTTAATGGAATGAGCAGTTAGGGGAGGGGGAAAAAGAATGAGTGAGCATCATCACAAAAAAAGTCCCTTATCAAAAGTCAGGGTGAGCAGCTCTGTGTGGCCTGAGCAATGGGACAGGGCACAGCTCATCCTGACCTCACCTCTCAGGGCTTTTGTGCTGAGCTGGTGCCTCCTGAGTAGGAGGGGGGTCATCCAGGGCTCCAAAGAAGATGCCGGGGAGGTTGGAGGGCGCAAGTGGGCGGCTGGAGGCTGTGAGGCTGCTTGTCCTTAGTGGCTCCTGGGGAAGGAAAAAGGTAGCTTTAATGGGGGCGGGCCCCCTGGGCACCGGGAGCAAATCACACTTGCAGTTTGGCTCTTACACAGGGAATGCGCCCCAGTGCAGCCAGGGAGCAAGCACCAAGTCAGCAGCCTGGAAAGGCCCTCCCAAGGTGAGAGTTACCCTGCAACACGAGGACCAGACTCACCGCCTGAGCTAAGGCTGGAGGGAGCGGAGGGGCCACGGGCGGTGGGAGGACGGCTGGGGGCAGGCGCGGCCCCATCCCCTCTGCCTGGTGTCGCAGCAGCATCTCCACATTTGCCTTCAGCTGAGCCAGCTCTGCATTCTGCCGGGCTGCCAGCGATCCTGGGGAACAGCAGCTCAGACACACTCAGCTGCCGCCTCACAGACAAATGGGCATTGCTCCATTTCCCAGTCACCCACCAACATCAGCTCGCATCTCCCTCCGGACCTTCAATGCCAGGAGTTCATCCTCGAGCCGCTGGTTCTCCAGCTCCACAGCCACCAGCGCCGCATCGAGGCCCCGTGCCGCCTCAACAGTGATGGTATCCCGCCCCTGGGCTCTGTGCTGGGGCTGGTACTTGCTCATCTTCTGTGCAGCCTTTTTCTCTAGTGCCATGGCCTCCAGCTGGAGGTCTAACATCTGTGCCAGGGTGGCCTCATCACGGCCACCAGCACGCAGGTAGGAGAGCCGCAGAGCCCTGCCATGACGCTGGCATGAGCATCTGCTGGGTTCTGCTGGGCTCCCGCCCCACCCTCAGCTCTCACCTGGCCTCAGCTGCCAGCGGCCCAGAGGGCGGCAGGAGGGCATCGAGGTGAAGGGCATCCCTGAGGAGGATATGAGCAAACTGGGGCCCAGCAGGCAAAGGGCCCTTTCTGGGCAGTATGCAGCAGGGCTCACCCTCGGTGCTGGTGTCCAGCTTTGTCTGGCAGCAGCTCTGCAGCCCAACTCATTTCTGGTGACAGATGCTTGTTGCACAGCAATGCCAGCTGCTGGCACAGCTCTGTGGGACGCACATCTTGGTCACTCCAGAACCACAACCATCGCCCCGCACCCCGTGCCGGTGCCTACGCTCTCTGTGCCGCTCTAGCTGTTGTGTCTTGGCCCGGATTTCAGCCACGTGGCGCTGATGAGCCTCCAGCAGCTCCGGTGCCCGTGGGTCCCCTCGCGGCGGGCCGGGCTCTCCCTGGGGCACAGAGGCAGCCACGACAGTAGGGGCCGAGCCCACGAGACGGGGGCGACCCCGCACTACGCTGCAGGCGAGTGGGGCCGGTGGGGCGGTCTCACCCGCTCTACTGGCCGGCTGGCAGCGGGGGCACGGAGCAGCGCCCGCTCGCGGGGCGTGAGAACGTCACCCAGCGGTGCGCCGCGGGCTCGCCCCGGGCCCTCACGTCCCACAGAGAAGCGAGGGAGCCCGGAGAGCGGGAGCAGACGGCGGTGCTTGGGGCGATCCTCGTGCCGGGACACCGCGACCTTGAAGAGGCAAACGGGACGGGAGGGCGGGAACTGCTCAACAACAGACGGACGGGCGGCACGGCTGCTCTCGGAGGAGCCGCGGCCGCAGCCCGCGTTCTCGCCCGCGGACGCGTCCCCGCCCCGCGCCCAAGCCCGGCCCCGCACTACCGAGGGGTCCCGCAGTCCCTCCGTCCTTCCCGGCTCTTCCCCCGGCCCGCCGAGGCACAGCCGCTCGTGGTGCGCCCTTAGCAGCGCACGGGAGCCGAAGGCCATGCGGCAGCGCGGGCAGACGAAGGCTCCGGCGGCCGCCATCGGACTCCTGCAAAAACACCCGCGCCCCTCGGCCCGGCTCGGCGGCCCTCCCTCCTCCGGGCCGTCCGCGCCGACCCGCTCGGGGACGCGCCTGCAGTGTTTGAGGCCGCCGTTGCTACGGGCGCCGAGTCCCGCTCCGCCCCACGCGCACGGCCCGTCCCAGCTCTGTTCTGCGGGCCGCCCTCCCGGCGCTCACCTTCACCGCGCGGTTCCTCGGGGCTCCTCTCTCAGCTCCCCCCGCGGCGCTCCTCCGGTCCCCGTCTCTACCCGGTGCGCCCGGGCCGGGGCAGCTGGCGGAGGCCGCGTTCCGCCTCGCGCTGCCCGCCCGCCATTTCGGGCTGAGGCTCTCCTCTTCTCTCCTTCTTTCTCCTTCTCCTCAGCGCAGGGCATAACGTCTCATTGGCTTCACCTGCGCTCACAGCGCTCCCCGCTGAGCCGTGAGGGCTCCCGCCTCAGGCACGGCCCGTTTCCACACAGCGCTGCTCACGAGCGGCTGTCAGCGCGGCTACACGCTCACGGACTTCTAAACTTACCCAGTTTCTTGGCTTTTGTAGCGCTTTTCCTCACGACTTTCCCCATCGATGGGTGAAGGCAGACAGCTGCCACAGACAGAAGCGATCTGACGGCGCACATCGGCCCTGGGGAGCGCCTCACGGCAGCGCAGCTCCGCGGGCCCGGCTCCCATTACACACGCACACAGCCGCACACTCCTCTCTGCGTAGAGCAGCAGCAGCTCCACACACAACCCAGCCGTGCTGCCCTGCGACGCCCAGCTCCCCCGCTGAGGCGCGACCCCGGCCCGCTCCCCGGCCGCAACCGCGCACCTGCCTTCCGCCCCGCGGGTTGTGTTCCCAGCTGAACGGACACTGAAATAGCTTAGGCCACACCTGAGTTGTTTGTAAAATCCTTTTTAATCTAATAGAAATGTTTTCATGATTTTTTAAAAAAGATTTCAATGAAAACAGCTTTGGATTCAGACATTCCCTTGCCACGTTGTGAACACAGACAGCAGCATTGCACCAGGAACAGGCAGTGACACCGACCGGTCGAGCTCCACCATTTTGTATGAAGCGGAAAATAAAGCAAACTGCTTGAGTGGAAGATAATTCAAATTATTGTCTTTAATTTCTTTAAAAAAAAAAAAACAACCAACCAAAACCAACGAACACGGGCTGCCATCTCTCCATTGTTCTCTCCCTCTCCCTTTGTAAAGGAAGAGTTCAGCTCCTGCAGTCCCAGCACTACAGCAATGTTTGCCAAGTGGAAAAAACACAGTGGGAGAAGCAGCTCTTTATCCCCAGTGCTATTTGAACCCCAAAGTTGCACATCCCTTTAGAGGAAAGGTTTTCTTACATAAGAAAGACAATTAGAATTGGCAAACTGATGCAAAATATTTATTCCAAGTTAGTTATTTTTGATGCAGTAGTTTTTCCCCCTCATACAGACTCAATGTGATAGTCACTTTTTTAAATCTGTAAATAATGTTATCAAAATAATCTTAATCTTTGAAATCTCACAAAAAATTTATATTTTACAATCCACCCTGAATATCAAGGCTGCAAGAAGAAGAACACAAACAATTCCTATATCCAAATATTTTACAGCTGTACCCAAAAAAAGAAAACCACAAACGCCTGGTTAAGTGATGAAGCTCCCCGAGCCGCCAAAAAAAAAAATAAAATAAAATAAAAAATTCATGTTATTAGCATTAATTTAACATAATTAGAACTTCAATAGCCATTTTGTCATTGACAATGATTGTTTTAGCACATGTTACCGCACAACATTGTGTAATGCGGGCGGCACTGTTAGAAGCTTGTTGTTGCAAAGATCAGTCAGCCACTCGTATCCTGCTTACCAGACTGAACTTGTGCACTGCCCCACAAGGGATTTCTGTCAAAATTTGCTAGCTGCACAAACTTCTATTAAGCATTAGGGCAAAACCAAAAGAAAAAGCTAAAGAAGCCAATTTCTCTCTTCTTTGGGATACAATTATTTCCCTTGTGCATGAAGTATCAACAGAAGAAAAAACTGAACAGACTGGAGACAGAATAAACTCTGTTTAGTTTATACAACCCCCAAACACATGTTGAACTACGAACTGAGTTTATTGGGTTGGTTTTATTTATTTTAATTTTCTTGTGCCCACTCTCAGGCATCGTCATCTGAAGTCTCGCTGCTACTGGTTTCTGTTTCCGAGTCCTCAATCTTTGTCTTAAAAGTGCTTCTCCAGTGGAACAGGCTGGAGCTGCGGCCCTGAAGAAATCCATTCTTCCCAAATCCGTTTCTTCTTCGCTGTGGGAATGAAAGTAAGCTTTAAAATAAGCACAACTACGGAGAGTAACTGTCACCAGCCACCTGGGGATGCTGTTCTACAGCCACTTGTATATTCATGTGCTCTCTGTGGATAATGCAGGGTCATCAACCACCATCCAGTTTCATTTCTGCTCTTAGTCTTCTACAACATCCTAGGCACTGCACTACAGAGGACTTACGCAGCAGTGGCAAGAGTTATGAACATACCTGCTCTGATTTAATTTGGAACTCTTTGAGCTCATCCTCTGTGAGGGGAAGGTAATTCTCATCATTTTCAGGATATTCCTGCCATCCCATTTCTTTCAATAACCTGATTCATGAAAAAAAGAAAAAGAAAAAAAGGGCACAGGAATTAAAGCAATGGAACAAAGGCAAAGGTGAGAACAGCCTGCCCATGAAACACAAGGTTTTGTATTAAATTACTTTGAGTTCACCAGGGAATCTTCTGCACTACACACCACTTAATGTTTAGCATTTACCCAATATTTTTCTTACTCAATGTCTTCTACAAACATTTAATCATCAGCATTTCTGTACACTGGGTAAATAACTAGTCTGGCAGAAGGACAAAAACCAAACAGATCTGAAGTTCTACCCAAGGACACTGAAGAAGGATGTGAGATAAACTAGCAACTCAGCTCAAGATCTTCTAGAAGTTACTGCCCGCTTACAGCAGATGCTCACAGGTCACTCACTAAAATAAGATACAAACTGAGACATAAAGTAAGAATTTTCTTAACTTTCTGCAGAATTTTTTCACAGAATTTAAGAGTATTCCAAGGGCAGACAGAAAGAAACCAGTGAGTATGAGTATGCAAGTACCTGATTCATAACCCAGATCATTACCTTTAGGACACCCAGTAATAAATTAATTGAATTGCACTAGGTTTATGTTGCCTCACCACGTGGGCAGGTAAATCCTAGGCAGCATTAACGCACAAGGATGTGGCACGAGGGAAGTGCAGGAATTTAATTACAGACCTTGGCAAAGTCTTGGCTCAGCTGTCATCAGTGTTTGTTTTACTTGACACTCCACCACCCAGTCCAGCACATAGAAATGGAACCCACACCTCCAGTTCAGCTTTGTGTACTTCCCAGAAAGTTCTTTGGAATAGTTTCCAGCTTGCACAGTCCGAGGACATGCCGTCTTTTACTCCAGACACCTTACTTGGTTATTTTCTTACCTGTGTTCTGCTTCCAATGAATGAGAGAGGTTTTCCCCCTCCTCTGGCAAGGGGAGAGAAAGGCCATTTTGATGGCAATTCTCTTCCCAGTTTTCCTTTGGTTCTGGTGTGCTGTTGCTCTCCATCTGAAGAAAAATAAAAGCAAAGTGCACAAAGAACACCATGATATCACACTTCCAAGTTCAACTTTCTGCTCTTGGGAGTAAACCAAAGCCTTCTGAGTCAGGCTTTCAACAGAGCCTGGACTGACAATAACTTGGAAAGCAGCTTCTACCTAGTTGTGACAAGACAATGTGATATGGATGACATTTTGATGCGCTGCACTTTGATGTCAGGGGAGTAAGTGCTGGCATTGCTAAGCCATCATCAGTGCCTCCACGGTGTAAGAAAACCATGAAAACCCCACTCTTAAGGTTGCAGTTTACACACACATTAAGCCACAGACTTATGCATTTAGGATTCTGGTCCAAGCCTGAGCCTTAAGCCTCTATTCTACACATTTTACAAGTACTGAATTCAACTTCCCTGTGAATGTAGTTTGACATGAAGTTTGAAATCAAAGACAGTATTGTTCCATCCCTCAGAGAATTCCTACAAAGACCCAGATTACCTTCATCATCTGTCACACCTTCACTTCCACCTCATTTATTACTTATCCTTTTGCATTTCATCGTGTCACGCATCTCCTTTCATCACACTGCTGCTCACTACCTCTGCTGGCATGCATGTCAGACCAAGGGAAGTCATTCATTTCCACGCCCACAGCCCCAGTCACATACACTGCTTTTTTCAGTACCCAACTCCTTAAAAACAGCCATCAGTAAGGACAGTGATCTTACATCATCCAGCTTGTCACATTCTCTGCTCTCTGTTATCTCCCCATTCCGATCATCTTTCAGTGCCTTCAGGAATTCGCTCTTCTTATCAGTGGTGCGACGCATCAGCTTTGTCAAGCGTGAAGAGCAGATCTCGATAGGAGGGGTGGTGCTGGAAGGACTCTAGACAAAGCAAGCAGAATATGGACACTTGAAGGTGTACCCTCTTGTGAAGATCAGGCCCTTTTAGGATCTGCACTATTAAATGCTCATCAGCTCCTGGACTAGTTCTGAACTCCTTAAGGAATCTAGTCGCAGATGTCCACCAAAACAGTGACTGGTGTTGTGCTGGTAAGGGAAGAACTGGCTATACATTATGCTCCCACCTATCACTACCAACTTTGTTTTTTTTTTTTTCTTCCAAATTTCCCTAGGTATCACCATGGCCAGGAATACATTTGTTTCGTTCCTTGGCAATGTAACTCTCTCACATGTAATGCTGAATACTACAACAGAAAATGTGGGCAGAGAGCTTCACGTGGGACTCAGTCCACAAAGATTATAAAATCAGGGAGCTCAGACTCTGTTCTAATTTGTGTCTTAAGACATCCTGGCTGCCTCTACCCTGAAATTAAGCTTTGGGCTGGGAATCTCTTTTCAGGGAGCAGCACATCTTCAACCAACT